CACCATAACCGTGAGAAGAAAGATAACCCTCAACCTTAGGAGTCACTCCACTACATACCACCAAAGGGAGTTCATAGTTACCCTCAAAATGGTATCAGGGGTCTGAGTATTTCTTTCCACTTTATAGATATTCCTTCAGCCTTTCCAGCCACTTCCCACAGACCTCAATAACAGACCATGGATCAGTATATATCATAAAACTTATAGCACTTTATTGTAGCAACTTACATTCAAGTAAGATGACATCAGCTTCAAAACGGTATATTCCCAATCCTTCCTCTCCTCACAAGTGTACAGATTGCCACACTATCACACTCCCGAGGGAGGAACGGTTGCCGTGAGTACCCAGTACCTCAACACCCCACGAGGATTGCAGGAAAACACAGCCGCATGTACCAGGATCAAAGATGGCCGTCGCCGCACTTCCGGAAGAGCGTACCTACGTCACCACGTCACGTGCCCCGGACGCGTTTCGTCACATCCGGACTTTATCAACAGGGATACGGACGTGACTCCTCATTCCCCTTAAATACCAACCAAGGCGGGGAAATAAAGTCCGGATGTGACGAAACGCGTCCGGGGCACGTGACGTGGTGACGTAGGTACGCTCTTCCGGAAGTGCGGCGATGGCCATCTTTGATCCTGGTACATGCGGCTGTGTTTTCCTGCAATCCTCGTGGGGCGTTGAGGTACTGGGTACTCACGGCAACCGTTCCTCCCTCGGGAGTGTGATAGTGTGGCAATCTGTACACTTGTGAGGAGAGGAAGGATTGGGAATATACCGTTTGTGAAGCTGATGTCATCTTACTTGAATGTAAGTTGCTACAATAAAGTGCTATAAGTTTTATGATATATACTGATTCATGGTCTGTTATTGAGGTCTGTGGGAAGTGGCTGGAAAGGCTGAAGGAATATCTATAAAGTGGAAAGAAATACTCAGACCCCTGATACCATTTTGAGGGTAACTATGAACTCCCTTTGGTGGTATGTAGTGGAGTGACTCCTAAGGTTCAGGGTTAGCTGCACAGATAGACGTTGCTCCCAATCCGACATCCATGTGGGTGTGCGGCTCCAAACACTAACAGCATGGATCCCCAGGTAGGTAAACACGGCCCTCTCACAGGCGTACACTGTAGTATGCCAGTATGAACAAGGCCTTATAGTATAAGACAGTCAAAGCCAGTCTGCCATAAGAAGAAATACTTTGCAGAAAGACTCAGGAGCAAATCGGCATACAATATATATTTAAAACAAGCACAGATGGAAAAAAAAAGACAACAAATTACATTTTTAGTTATATTTAGTGTAAATTTATATCAATTAACTAGTTTTTTTTAAGTTTTTCTTTTATAAAAATCACAATTATTTAAAACAATTCTTCATTTTTAGGAGCTAATTGTGTAGCTTCTCAGAGGTGTAACTGGAAATTTGTGTGCATGCATCTCTCTTCAAATACCATGGTGTCACACTTCTGCTGATGATCTCATTCCTGTCATTCCACAGAAAAGAAGAAAAAGTTACATATACTGTATATGTTTATATATACATACGTGTGATATACACATACAAACATACACCCGTTATGCAGAAAAAAAAAATATATAAATTGTATGAATGTTTACACACCTAGATTGTTGCCTTGGCTAGCAGTCACTGTTCTTAAACAAGCGTGCAGAAGGTAAAATCACATTTCCAAATCTGCTTACTTGTCCCAAGTCTGTGATTTTACATACTGAAGCCAGCATTTAAGGTCACAGCATTGCAACCTACAAATACAAGCTTAATTTAAGGCTAAACTTGGGGCAAATGGCAAAAACACAAATGAAAAACATCTATTGGAACTGTTTTACCTGCCAAAAGAGTTGTATTTCTGTTCATTCAGTCCTGAGATTTACACAGCTCACACATAGCCCAATCCCTGCCTGATGGGAGAGGGGAAACTGATCTTTCTGCACTGCAGTTTCACTTTCACTTACAGGTCTCCTCCCCACTCTGTGAATAGACCATGAAAGGAGAAGCACAGTGATAAGCACATCTTCTTTCTTCTCTTAGCAGCTTGTTTTTTGCAACATGTCAGAATGGTTCCTTGTGTTGCTCCGCCTTCCCTCTCTCTGGAAGCTGATACCAAGTCAATTCCAGGCACTTACACTGCTTACATTTAAAATATATGTTAAAGGCTAAATTTACCTTTAAGAAAAATAATAAATGCACAGTTTTTCTCTGTAAAAATCGATCCCTCATGTGTGTGACCTCTCTATTGAAATCTACATCCTTATTATAAATCCTACGCAATTGTAGGAACTGTCCCACAGGAATCTCTGTGTGTGTGTTTGGGATATCCTGAGTCAGCTCTTAGAATGCTATTGCCTGATAAGGTTTTCCTATACAAACTGGTGACAACTGCGCCCTCACAGTTCCTCAGTGTGACATCCAAGAAATTAATGCTGTGATCGCTCATCTGTCCAGTGATGCTGAGGTTATGTTCATTGTCATTGAGATACGACGACAAACATTCCAAATCCCCAAACTCACTGGAACAAGTTAAGATCAAATCATCTATGTAGCGCCTGAAAAACAGGATGTAGGGACAGAACGGGTTGTCAGGTCCAAATATCTTCACCATCTCCCACCAACCAATGTGGAGGTTGGCGAGAGAGATAGCAAGCAGGAGGTCTGCTTAGTAAAACAGCACACAGTACACAATAAAAGTGCTCCCTAACACACAGTTAACCCTTTGATCGCCTCACATGTTAACCCCTTCCTGCCATGTGTCATTAGTACAGTGTCAGCGCTTTTTATTAGCACTGATCACTGTATTGGTGTCACTAGAGATGTAAGTGGCAGTTAGTTCCCACCCAGTGTCAGAATGCTCACCGTCCCGCTATATGTCGCTAATTGCTGCCATTACTAGTATAAAAAAAAATAAATATCTAAAAATTCAAGTGTATATATACCCCGCCATTTGTAGACACTAACTTTCATGTTAACCAAGTAATATACACTTATTAGGATTTTTTTTTAGCAAAGACATGTAGCAGAATACATTTTGGCCTAAATTTATGAGGAAGCTTTATTTTTTCTTTTATTGGATATGTTTTATAGAAAAAAGTCAAAAATATTGTTTTTTTTTTTTAATGTAATTGTTTATAGTGCAAAAAAAATAAACAAAACAAAAACACAGAAGTGATCAAATACCACCGAAAGAAAGCTCTATTTGTGGGGAAAAAAAAGTACATAAATTTCATTTATGTACATTGTTGTATGACCGTGCAATTGTCAGTTAAAGTAACAGTGTCGTGTTGCAAAAAAATGGCCTTGTCAGGAAGGGGGGTAAATCTTCTGGATGGCAAGTGGTTAAAGCGATTATAAAGGAAAAAAAATTTAAAACATACACACACACTTCTATACTTACCTGCTCTGTGCAATGGAATTGCACAGTGCGGCCCCGAACCTCCTCTTTTCGGGTCCCCCGCCAGCGCTCCAAGCTCCTCCTCTCTGTCCAGTGCTCCCACGAGAAGCCGCTTCCCATGGGGGCACTCATGTGTGCTCGTTCCCGAGCCCTGCTGCTGTGTCCAATGACACAGACCATTGACTTTGCCTCGCCCACCGCTCATCACTGGATCTGATTGACAGGAGCGGGAGCCAATGGCTCCCACTGCTATCAATCTGCCCAATGAGGAGGGAGACAGCGGCGAGAATCGCTGCTGTCTTGCATGACGCTGGATCGGATCGGGCTAAGGCAATAATAAGGGGGGCTGGGGGGGAATCATGCATAGAATGCATTAAGGTAAAAAAAGCTTTGAGGCTTCACAACCACTTTAAATAATAGGCTGTTCTGTTCTATTTCAGTTCTATTTACTTACACTTTTAATTAGTGCCCCAACCATTCTAAAAAAGGTTTGCTCGCTCTTACATTTTCACACTAGGTCATGAAGAGGACATGCTCCTAAAATGGACAATAGTAATGTGCATGAGGCCGGATAGGGTGGGCACCTCAAGGCATGAAGGACACTTTGAGCTTGATGGAAGCCTATTTTGTGACAGTCACTTTAAACTTCATCAGCTGCCTTGTTGGCCAATAATGTACATGCTATGGTAGCTGGCAGAGTTTAACCATTAAAGAGGTTCTTCAGTCACTTGTTTATTAAAAGTCAGCAGCTACAGTTTTTGTAGCTGCTGACATTTACTTTTTAAACAGACACACCTGTCTAGGGATCCAGCACTGTCCTCACCCAAGCTGGTTTCTTCACCGGTTTTCGGTACCTGGTGCCAGCATCTTAACTGTGGGCAGCTGGCTGTGACTGCTTGCGGATTCACAGCCTGCTGTCCACTGCGCATGCGCGAACCATGCTGAGCTTTCTGAATGGTCCCGCAGCCTTCTGGGACCTGTGATGTGTCCCAGAACGCTTTGGGCAAGGAGGGAGGAGAAGAACTTCCATTTCAATCGTCTAGGTCAGGGTTAGGCAACCTGCGGCTCTCCGGCTGTTGCAGGACTACAAGTTCAATCATGCCTCTGCAAGTCATAGCTGTAACTGTCAGTTTTGTAATGTTGCAATGCCTCATGGGAAATGTAGTTCCACAACAGCTAGAGAGCTGCAGGTTGCCTACCCCTGGTCTAGGTAATCCCAGCAGAAGTGGGATCAGGTACCTGTGAAAGCCAGGTGCCCACCCCCTCTCCACCCCAAACAATTATGTGCAAGTATGACAGAGGAGGGGAGAGTAGGAGGAATAGTGGAACTTCCTCTTTTTTGGGATAAGTTCTGTTTTAAGTCAGGGTCCAGTAACAGAATAGGCTTTTCGGACTAACAAGGTTCATAGCGGACATAGTGATTTACATTTTTAAATAGGAGGTTTTATATTAAAACTTTAACATGACGTATACTGTGGGCTGACATAATTCATAGCATAGCATCCTCTAACATTTTTTCATGTAAAATGGAAAGACTTGGTTCCCACATGCCTAAAAGACTTCAGCCAAACAACTTACCTAATGGAGAGACTCAAAATGAGCTAACCCCTACAATACGTCTTATCTGCTCATAAGTCAGCCAGAAGACCAGCGACCAGGGAGCCTGTAACAAAAACACACATAACAAAATGAATAGGACATACGCTCCCAGACACAAACTTTAAATATGTGAATACTCCTGTAATCCCGTTCAGTGCATCCCCACCTCATTCTCCAAGGGTTAATTGCTTGTTAAGGCTAGAGATGACGGAATAAGCCATTACTTATAGCTTGCTTCAGTGGGCTCTAGTGCTCTCCCCTTCTCTCTGACACTCCAAGCTGTAGATGTGCCATAGTCATCCTCACGTACAATGCAGGATTATTGGTTCTGCATTGTATGCAAAGAAATTGCAGTGCCATAGAAAAGAGGCCTCTGGGCTGGTTGCAGAGTTAGAAGATGTTTTCTAGAGTGAGCATCGGGTAAGTATTACAGCTTATTCTTCTACCCCTAGACTTAACCATTTAACCGTTGCAATTCAGGGGCCCCACTGCAAAGGTGTTTTTTTGTAGTTCCCACAGTTCAGCTTTACAGGCCAGTTCACATCTGCGCAGTGCATTTTCTGGTGCATTGATTTGTAGGCACATTACCATTTAATGCTATAGAACGTGTATTTTGATGAAAAGACATCAAAAATACAATATACAGGACTTTTTTTTTTTTTTTTTTTTTTTTTTTTTTTTTTAGGTGTGTGGGTGTTAAAGCCCACCTTTTTGTCACCACACATACAGTCAGGTCCATAAATATTGGGACATCGACACAATTCTAACATTTTTGGCTCTATACACCACCACAATGGATTTGAAATGAAACAAACAAGATGTGCTTTAACTGCAGACTGTCAGCTTTAAGGGTATTTACATCCAAATCAGGTGAACGGTGTAGGAATTACAACAGTTTGCATATGTGCCTCCCACTTGTTAAGGGACCAAAAGTAATGGGGCAATTGGCTTCTCAGCTGTTCCATGGCCAGGTGTGTGTTATTCCCTCATTATCCCAATTACAATGAGCAGATAAAAGGTCCAGAGTTCATTTCAAGTGTGCTATTTGCATTTGGAATCTGTTGCTGTCGACTCTCAAGATGAGATCCAAAGAGCTGTCACTATCAGTGAAGCAAGCCATCATTAGGCTGAAAAAACAAAACAAACCCATCAGAGAGATAGCAAAAACATTAGGCGTGGCCAAAACAACTGTTTGGAACATTCTTAAAAAGAAGGAACGCACCGGTGAGCTCAGCAACACCAAAAGACCCGGAAGACCACGGAAAACAACTGTGGTGGATGACCGAAGAATTCTTTCCCTGGTGAAGAAAACACCCTTCACAACAGTTGGGCCAGATCAAGAACACTCTCCAGGAGGTAGGTGTATGTGTGTCAAAGTCAACAATCAAGAGAAGACTTCACCAGAGTGAATACAGAGGGTTCACCACAAGATGTAAACCATTGGTGAGCCTCAAAAACAGGAAGGCCAGATTAGAGTTTGCCAAACGACATTATTATTATTATTATTATACAGGATTTATATAGCACCAACAGTTTGCTCAGCGCTTTACAATATAACGGGAGACAATACAGCAACAATGCAGTTCAATAAAAGAGGGATAGGAGGGCCTGATCCTTGGAGCTTACAATCTAGGAGAAATCTAGTTGGAAGCAACATAGAAAGGAAAAACCAGGCATCCAACACACCCAAATGTGTGTTAGATGCTTTGTTTTTACCTTGTTTTTACCTGTTTTACCACTGCTAAAAAAATCTTCCAGAGGCAAGGACAGTCAAACAGATACAGTATGTATTAAAAGTATTCTTTTACAATAAAGCCTTTTTCCAATATTTTTCCAGGTAGCAACAGAATCGCTTAAAGCAAACTTTACCATGGAAAGATGTGGAACCACAAATAAAACCAACTGACGTGTATGTAAAGGGGACCACAAAAGATATCCAAAGAATATTCATGTATAAAAAAAATTCAGACACCAATGTATTTTGTAGATAAATAGATGCCCCCTCTGATTAGCTACAGGAACTAAAGTAATAGTGTATAAATAACATTAATTAAAATTAGCATTAATGCAGACTTTTTTCATGCCAGAATTTTCTTTCGATATCATTTGTGGTGCTTGTTACACTTGTGTTGATTAGCAATTCTGCACTAAGCTACCACACCAGATAAGGATACATATTTTCAAAAAAGTGACTTATTTTCAGTCCAATGGGTTATGAAAATGACAATCATATAGCGGAAATAAAATTCCTTATCCTGGCATTAAATATTCCTGAATTGAACTTTATTAATCAGTCTTATTTTTAGATTACTTTTATTCCATGACTTGAAAAAAACCATCTCACCTATACTTTGTGGAATTAAAGTCAAGGGAATGTAACTGGCACAGTCACTTCTGTCAGCAGTCAGGGGATGAAGATTTCTCTTGGGGTATATTCACACCAGATGTGATGGGACTGCGTTGGGTGGCTATTCCAGCATATCCCCACCACATGACAAGGCAAAATGTCTTGCTTTGCGGTGGTGTGTGCTTAAAAGTACTGCATGTGTACTTGCACCATACAACAGGCAATTGAACTTTTTGAAATGTCAAAAAAAAAAAATGAACAGTGCGTTGTGCTGGACCTCACTGCATATCAACCACTGCATTGTAATTCAGTGGCTGGTGTGAATGGACCTTTACTAATGCATCTTTATGCAAGACCACTGGCTTTGGGGCTGGCCTGATCTCCAAAAAAATGTAATTCACTATAATAGTCACTAAGATATTTTAACTACAAACTATTTCATGAAACTAATTGCTGTGGTTGTTTTGATTGTGTGTATGATTCAATGCACATTTCAAGAAGCCTATATGTTTGAACTTGATGTTAGGATTTATTAGACATTTGATCCAAACTGATGATCAATATTTAAGACACCTGATTCCTTTTAGCTGACTAATGTTGTTAACTGTCTGTCTTAATTCTATAACTGGTGGAGCATGGTTGAACCAAACAACTGTTTTTTTTTACTGTCCGTGAAGATAATTGTTCTTACAAGAACCTGTCACAAAGTTTGGGGTTATTTTAGTGTTTTACAGTTACTAGTTAAAACCATACATGGGCTATTCATAGTACCTCTATATGCTTTAAAGTGTTACTAAACCCACAAGAGTAGACTCAGTCTGTATATGCAGTAAAGCATGCTTGTTATACTCACTGTGGAACCTAAGGGGTTAATCCTATGCACTGTGTAAACAGGCTGTTTAATCCTGACTTTTCTGATCCTAGACATCATTGCTAGAGAGGTTTAAACGACATCTAAAAAAGCCTTCACAGTTCTGGAACAACATCCTATGGACAGAGGAGACCAAGATCAACTTGTACCAGAGTGATGGGAAGAGAAGAGTATGGAGAAGGAAAGGAACTGCTCATGATCCTAAGTATACCACCTCATCAGTGAAGCATGGTGGTGGTAGTGTCATGGCGTGGGCATGTATGGCTGCCAATGGAACTGGTTCTCTTGTATTTATTGATGATGTGACTGCTGACAAAAGCAGCAGGATGAATTCTGAAGTGTTTCGGGCAATATTATCTGCTCATATTCAGCCAAAGGCTTCAGAACTCATTGGATGCCGCTTCACAGTGCAGATGGACAATGACCCAAAGCATACTGCAAAAGCAACCAAAGAGTTTAAGGGAAAGAAGTGGAATGTTATGCAATGGCCAAGTCAATCACCTGACCTGAATCCGATTGAGCATGCATTTCACTTGCTGAAGACAAAACTGAAGGGAAAATGCCCCAAGAACAAGCAGGAACTGAACACAGTTGCAGTAGAGGCCTGGCAGAGCATCACCAGGGATGAAACCCAGCGTCTGGTGAGGTCTATGCGTTCCAGACTTCAGGCTGTAATTGACTGCAAAGGATTTGCAACCAAGTATTAAAAAGTGAAAGTTTGATTTATGATTATTATTCTGTCCCATTACTTTTGGTCCCTTAACAAGTGGGAGTCACATATGCAAACTGTTGTAATTCCTACACCGTTCACCTGATTTGGATGTAAATACCCTCAAATTAAAGCTGACAGTCTGCAGTTAAAGCACATCTTGTTATTTTCATTTCAAATCCATTGTGGTGGTGTATAGAGCCAAAAATGTTGAAATTGTGTCGATGTCCCAATATTTATGGACCTGACTGTATGTGTTACATAGGCAGCAACACGTTACAGAGACCATGTCAGTTCCCCCCCAAAAAAACTCCTCTTAGTATTTTGCAATAAAAGATCTTTTATACTTGCCTTTCCATGGGCCTGTATCTTTGACCTTCTCTCCATTCTAGCACTACAGCAATGGTCAGACTCTTCAGCATATGTCTGTGTCCCCCATTGTATATTGTTGTTTTTTTCTTCGAACCCTTGTCACTATTGTGTCCTTTACTGACATAGGGGTTGGTGGAAGAAACCACACAGTGCAGTGGGGAATAAAGATATGACAGTGAATGCAGTGTTCCACTGCAGGAAACTACCAAAATATTTTTTTTAGGGGATTGGCAGGGTCTCTTTAAGACAGATATGACACCAACCTTTTCATCCAACTTTGGTATAGTAAATATAATTAAACTTGTAATTTTACCAGGTGCACAAGATAAGTATCAATAACTTCTTTCCATTCCTCACACATAAGGGGGGATGTCTGCTTTCCAGTTTGGCTTTGGGAAGGTCTTTAAAATATATCTAAAAGGCAAAACTTTTATTTTTTAGTTTCGACAGTGAGGAAGTATTCGACCCACTGTCAAGTTCTTACTGCTGCTAGGAAGGTTCATACTAACGGTCACTGTTAATTTAAAATTCTAAGTTGTCACCAGAACAGGAAAACGTCTCCAATGGGGATACTTTTTCAGCTGACAGCAGTCTAAAAGGGATTTATCTTGCTTTGAAGATATTCCCTCTGACAGTGTTGTGTTCTATTTATTTATCACACACATTCCCATAAAAGCCCTGTTCTTGTAATGATTTTCTTTTTGAAAAGAATTGTTAGCTGTGTACATCTGTGTAGGGTAGAGGTATTTTAGCGTAGCTTAGATTAGTTTGCCCATTTTATACTTAGATGGGCAAGACAATGATCCCAAACACAAAGCCAAGGAAACTCAATTGGTTTCAAAGAAAGAAAATAAAGCTGCTAGAATGGCCCAGCCAATCATCTGACTTGAATCCAATAGAAAATCTATGGAAAGAACTAAAGATCAGAGTTCATAGTGGAGGCCCACGGAACCTTCAAGATTTGTTTGTGTGGAAGAATGGGCCAAAATCACACCTGAGCAATGCATGTGACTAGTTTCTCCATACAGGAGGCGTCTTGAAGCTGTCATTACGATGTCAATAGCACTTTTAGAAATATATTTACTGGGAAAAATGCTGACGTGTTCAATACTTATTTTACCTGCTGTAGTATGCTACTTAACATTAACATGTATGTGGAGATGTGAAACTAAAAAAAAAAAAGCCTTGGCACGCCTAGCCATACCCCTCATATGCCACTATACTTTAGTGCCAGCTACTCTACTGAAGGTGCCCATTCACAAGTTCTCATTATAAGCACTGCTGTAATTTAACCTATGTGTAACCATGTGTTATGTAAACGTTTATTACAACAAGCTTTATACCAAGAATTTTCTGCATTGTTCACATTTTTCACCATTCATCCAAATTTTACCATTCTCATCCAAGTGGGAATAAAACCTTTGTAGAGGGACAGGAATCCCTCTCCACGTACAGCTTGGATGAAACAATCAGTGGAAGACTTGTACAGGATTCCCCTGGAAGAAAAAACAAAAATCACAAGACTTAAGTTATCATTTAATTAAAGAGCTTATTTTTAATAGATGAGCATGTTTGGATCTTAGTCCAAATTTAATTGAGCGATCCTGCCAGGAATATGGTCACTGTACTGGGCCAACAATAAGCAGTGAGGTGTTCCCTACCTCACAGTTGTACATATTCACCCCCCTTGTATACATGTGGCTGTGGGGTGGGGCAGGGAATGCCTTAGCCGATTATGACTGATTTAATAGAAATGAGCAGTAATCAGATCCCAAGTATCATTTTAAGGCTACATTTGCATCAGCATTTTAGCCTCCTGCAGGAATCTGAAGCCAGCTGCCACTGCAATTTGCACCAGACTATATTGCCTCTGCGAATGTACCCTAAGTCATCGCTCTTAAAAGCGAAGTGCAATTTTAAATTCAATACCCCGTACCTGCCCTCCTTTCAAAATGTCTATAGAAGCACGTGCCTCGGGTGTGTAGAAAGATGTTTGCACTGTCTATTCAACCCAATTTTTGTTTTGGCACTCCTAGCAGTATGTGAATATACAAAGCTTGGCCATAAATGATAACAGTTGTCTGCCTTTAGTTTGGTACATGTGCCATTAAAACTAATAATCTTGGTGGCCAAGTCTGGAGCATGTGCAGGATACTGCAATTCAGAGTAAATGCTGAGCTGGGGTTCTAGGCAATTGCTCACGGTCCCCTGATCCCTATTTGGGTGATCTGCTCAGGTCACACAGTAAAGACATTCAGACTATGGGGATCAAATAATGAAAAAAAAAACTCCTGCGCTCAATGGAACACCTATTAATAAGCAGCACACACTCGCCTCAACCACAAGGAAAGAACACAGAAATACAAAAAATAGCGCAGCGCTAACAACCTATACTAAAATACAAATGAGATAAATGGAAATATCACATATAGAATGCACAATAAATATTCAGTGTTAGGTGCTCATAAAATGAATACTATGTGCAGCAGTCCATAAATGCCAATGATGGTGAAAAATCACAGCAAACTCCGTGAGGTGATCACAGTGCCACTCAGTGTGCGGTCAATCCACAGATGGCCAAGATGGCCCCTCACCTCCTTGATGCGACCCACTGGGCCAAACAGCTATGTAGGTGACCTTATACACCCAATAAGGTATCATCAAAGGATGGAACGTATGGATAGATCCCTCCAATATCTTCTCCTATCTCCTAGGTACTCGATTCCACAAAACCGTTTAAGATACCATTAAAAACAAAGAAGATCCTCCATAGTGTAATCCAGTTTTAATAATAACATGAATATAAATAAAATGCCCACTCACATGTAAAATGACAAAGATCAGCTTTTTCCCATATCATGGGTGTGTGTTTCCATGGTTCTCATGCTAAGAAATGCATGCAGCTCCACAATCCCTCCAGAAATGGCGCTGACGCCGGAAATGACGTCACCGCGCCACCGGAAATGATGTCAGTGCGTACCTTAACGCGTTTACGTCACGATCCACGTGACTTCCTCAGAGTGAAACGCCCATACTGACACATCAGCCATTTATAAGCTGCAGGGGCGTCACCCTGCCCAGTGGGAAGACGCCCACCGCAGCCATGATAACGGAGCACAATACACTACTTGCAGCGATGCATTAATGCCCACTATGTCCTTATAACTGGCAGAAAAAAAAAAAAAAAACCCCAACTTTAATATTTAAAACCAAACCACTTTAAATGGCAAAACCCCCTCAGAAGGGTAATCTAAATCTAAATTAATTTCATGGGAATTTGCAAAGAGTGTATATGTATGTATGTATGTATATATATATATATGTATGTATGTATGTATATATATATATATATATATATATATCATGAAGGTGCGGGACAGCCTTCATCATAATAGGCTAAAATACCTGCAATCTTTACCATAAATAATCAGAAGGTGCAGGAAATCCTTCCTCCTATAAAAATCTAAAATCTAAATATGTGTATATATAAACATATATACACATGTATATTTGTCTTTATAGCATCATGCCCATGTAAACACACACATCCCAGGATCACAGATATAATGAACTATATATATTTAAAAACATAAAATGCCATTACAATAAGTAAAAATAAAAAAAAAAAAAAATAAAAAATAAAATAAAAATAAAATAAAATAAAAATTCCACATATCCTCAGAGTTAGCAGCATATATTCAAATCTTCAAAAAAAACCCCAAAAAATACATTATTTATTGTCACACAATTCCGCAGATAAAGAAAAATGTTCCATTCCTAATAGTCACTGATGAAGCAGTTAAGGTGAAACTCCACATTGAGACCCTTAGGTGTCAAAGTTTGCATTAAAAAAAATCCACTTTGATTCGGCTCTACTGAGTGACCTAACTTTGTGACTGCCCCTCCAATGACCATTATATTTTTCAATCCCCCAAAATTGGAGAGAAGAAGGATCCTTATTATGATGAATCAGAAAATGCTTTGAAACATTATGTTTCGGGAAACCTTTTTTAATGTTCTGTATATGTTCACGAATACGTTTCCATAATGGTCTCTTTGTCCGACCCACATAGTGCAACCCACATTTACATTGTAGGCCATATACCACCCCCTCCATTTTGCATGAAATGAAGTCTCTGATCTTAAATTCCTCTCCACTATGGGTGGTTATAAAGGTTTTACGCCTCGTGTTAGTAACTCTCATCTCTTTACAGGCAAAGCACCTCTTACAGCAGCGGTTCTCAACCTGGGGGTCGCGACCCCTTTGGGGGTCGAACGACGCTTCCACAGGGGTCGCCTAAGACCATCGGAAAACACATATTTCCGATGGTCTTAGGAACCGAGACACCGCTCCTCGCCGCCGTCTCCAGGTGATGACATGCCGCCCTGTCATTGGACACACCTCGAGATCAATCCTCGCCTGTGATTGGCCGCCGGCACTGTAGCTCAGGAGAGGCACACAGGCGGCCAATCACCGGCAAGGAGGTGGAGCTTGGAGAGGAGGAGCCGAGCGGCACCGCGAAGATCGAGATGCGAGTGAAAAGGAGGAGAGGGATTGAAGGAAGACATCTGACAGGTAAGTGTTGGTACCATGGGAGAGGGAGGGAGCGAGCGAGCGAGCCAGGCTGGAGCAGGGGTCTGCAAGGTAAGTATCATTGGTGTCAGTGGGAATAGTGCCCCATCATTGGTGTCACTAATACCAATGATGGGCACTATTCCTCCCACTGACACCAACGATGGGACACTATTCCTCCCACTGACACCAATGATGGGGCACTATTCCTCCCACTGACACCAACGATGGGACACTATTCCTCCCACTGACACCAACGATGGGACACTATTCCTCCCACTGACACCAACGATGGGGCACTATTCCTCCCCCACTGACACCAAGGATGGGGCACGATTCCTCCCACTGACACCAATGACGGGGCACTATTCCTCCCACTGACACCAATGACGGGGCACTATTCCTCCCACTGACACCAATGACGGGGCACTATTCCTCCCACTGACACCAATGACGGGGGCACTATTCCTCCCACTGACACAATGACGGGGCACTATTCCTCCCACTGACACCAATGACGGGGCACTATTCCTCCCACTGACACCAATGACGGGGAAACTATTCCTCCCACTGAACCAATGAAGGGGGCACTATTCCTCCCACTGACACCAATGACGGGGCACTATTCCTCTCACTGATACCAATGATGGGGCACTATTCCTCCCAATGACACCAATGACGTGGCACTATTCCTCCTACTGCAAAATTACAAAGTTATGAAGTAGCAACGAAAATAATTTTATGGTTGGGGGTCACCACAACATGAGGAACTGTATTAAGGGGTCGCGGCGCTAGAAAGGTTGAGAACCACTGTCTTACAGGGATAAAAACCAATATGGTCCAAGAAAGTGACAGATTTGTTCTTCCCCGGTGGGTCAAGAACATTTTTCACTAGTTTTGTCCAAAATGTGGGGGCTTTCCTATATATACATTTTGGATATTGGGTCAAAATATTATTTAAAATGGGGTCCATCCTCAACAGTGGCCAATGTTTTTAAAAATTCTTTCTACCCTTTTATAATGTATATTATAGTCCAGAATTATGGCCACCTGATTATCTTTAGCTACCTTATTGTCCCTAGTATTATCCAGCAGTAACGACTGTCTTGGCATATCACCTACCATCTTACGTTTGGCCTCCACTTCCTTATATGTATACCCTTTGTCACAAAATCTGTCTCTTATTTTTTCAGCTTGTTCCATATATACTTCCTTGTCCGTACAATTCCTTCTCAATCTAACAAATTGTCCCTTGGGGATGTTACAGAGCCAAGGAGGAAAATGGCAACTGTCCCAGGGAATATAGCCATTACGGTCCACATTTTTTGAAAAACGTTTTTGTATTGATAATTCCCTCATTTAGATTGATTTCCAAATCCAAAAACTGGATCCGCACATCACTAACCTCCAAATTAATTTTATATTTTGACCCAATATCCAAAATGTATATATAGGAAAGCCCCCACACTTCGGACAAAACTAGTGAAAAATGTTCTCGACCCACCGGGGAAGAACAAATCTGTCACTTTCTTGGACCATATTGGTTTTTATCCCTGTAAGAGGTGCTTTGCCTGTAAAGAGATGAGAGTTACTAACACGAGGCGTAAAACCTTTATAACCACCCATAGTGGAGAGGATTTAAGATCAGAGACTTCATTTCATGCAAAACGGAGGGGGTGGTATATGGCCTACAATATAAATGTGGGTTGCAATATGTGGGTCGGACAAAGAGACCATTATGGAAACGTATTCGTGAACATATACAGAACATTAAAAAAAGGTTTCCCGAAAACATAATGTTTCGAAGCATTTTCTGATTCATCATAATAAGGATCCTTCTTCTCTCCAATTTTGGGGGATTGAAAAATATAATGGTCATTGGAGGGGCAGTCACAAAGTTAGGTCACTCAGTAGAGCCGAATC